GTGATCTTTTATGCGATGTCTATTTTTAAAAGGTTTCTGTGTTAGTAATTAAATTAATTATTAATTTAACTTAACTATAAAACATTGCGATAAGACAAAAGTTAAAACCATCACGGTTAAAAACTCTAAAAGCTGTAAAAAAACTCTAAAAAGCGACGACGTTTCGACGTTTACTCAACGTCATTTTCAAGTCAAAATGAATAAGAAAACGTTATTTGAATATAAATGTACAAAACAAATCCTTGGAGACTTAAATAAAACAATATTAAATGCGAGAAATATTTGCACGCAGTGTCACGTAAACAGTTTATCACGAACGGACTCCTTCAAATTAATCATTAACGCAGAAACGTCTTTGAAAAGTGGCCGGGATCGGGATTTCCAGGTAAAAAAAGGGCGGAATGGTGGGATTAACAGGAAAAAATGGACGGGAAAGCGGGATCTGAGAACTCTATTGTGCACCCTCTATTGATTACAACAATTAGTCAGTTAACCTTTCAAGTTATGCACAAGTCCAAACCCCGATCCAAGTAGAGAGAACACGGCGATTGTTATGGTTATTTGTATCTTGAAAAGGCGAAATCCATAACCACGCCTCTTGCTTTGTATAAGAAACACTTCCAACTCTTGCCTCGAATGAAACGTGTCTCCAGGCGAGAAATCTAACCTGTCATTCAAATCTTGCACGAGCGTAGCCTCGTGCCAAGTCACGTAACTGGCTGACAAGAACGGGAAGAAAAACTTGTACACCACCACCAGTGTGCCAGAAATCTGCGCCATGTACTCATAGGCAAAGTGAAGATCCCTAGCCGCTTCCCACCATTCAAAAATGTTCGCTAATAAAACCACAACATAGAAGAGCATGTGAATAAGAAACCAAACTCGTATGCTGTTGACCCGCTCTGCTATTTGTTCACGCACTTGTCTGTGAATTATCAAAGCGTTACGCACATCCCCCGTACATTTCGCTATACGTGTGTAACCTTTCGAGAGGTCGTTTGTCATTACGAGGCACAACGAAAAAAACATACAGCAAACAGCGACAGAGGAATACAAACCCCAGTAGACTGACACGGCTAGAGTGTAAAAAACACCAGTGCNTCGTTTGTCATTACGAGGCACAACGAAAAAAACATACAGCAAACAGCGACAGAGGAATACAAACCCCAGTAGACTGACACGGCTAGAGTGTAAAAAACACCAGTGCATACGACCAGATGGTGACAGGTTTGCAAACAGGCTTCCTTGATGTTGACCAAGTCAAAGATGACTTGATAGTACGCATCTCCAAATAAAACCCACGAGACAAGAAGCAAACCGGTGATCAGGGCTACATTGATAGCTCGGTATTGATTTTTGTTCAGATCTCTCATCCATTCTTGTGAGTGATATCTGAAGTAATAGAGAGCTAAAACATATGATGCAAAGGAGCTAATCCACAGAGCTGTGAGCAGCATTTTGGATCCTAAATGAACACTATGGTGGCTTGAAGACAGGATAAAGAAGAAATGTGCACCCAAGCCGAACAGAAGATGAAATACTGGTATGAAAGTAAGCGGCCATATTGATTTCCTCTTCTTTGGCAACCAAAAACCAAGGAATGCAACCAAAAGGAAACACGACAAAGGCCAGGAAGAATCGAAGAGAAAGAACTTCAGCTTTGCGCAGATTCTGCAGCAGAATCCATTCGGCCTTTGACATGGTTCATCGAGTTCGTCTTGCTTTGCAACAAAACCAGTGTCATGTAAGAACAGATCATAAGAATCCTCTGGCCATTGCGCGGGATTTCTCATTTCTTCTGTTCCCGATCTCGAGGGTGCGGAATTAAATGCTCGGTTCGTTTGTCCGAGCAAAGGATCTGTTTCTACTGCCTCCATTTTTGTACTGCGTTGCTTTGGTTTGTGTTCCGGTCTGACGTCATTCTCGGATATTGATCGCTCAGTAACGCCATTTGGTCACGCCATAATCGTCTATGTTGTGAGCTCAGTAACGGTATTTTGAGTTATTTTGGCTACGTACAAAATTACCTTTAAATGGTAAAAAACATGAAAATAACAGTTTTAAAATAAGACAGAAAAACACCAAAGACATAATGATAAACCATAAAGGAACAAGGATGGCTAAGGGTGGAGAAGATTGACCCGGACTGCAAACGACGAAGTTGAACTAGTTAAAAATGTCCCTCGAGGAATCCAGCCAATCAAATCAGTTCTTCAGAGATGACGTTTCCTTATTCTGAGGCCCCGCCGACTATGAGGGACAGGTAACCCTGGAGACGAGTTAACCTTGGGGGCGGGTCAAGGGGCTCGTTTAAGAGATGCCCATATATGGATCGTGTGAAATTTGGGAAAGAGACTGGGTTTCTGTAGTTTCTCGATCGAGTGCGCAGCGTTGTAAAAAGGGGCGAAAAATGGCACGTATCGCAATGTTTTTCACTAATTTCGTCGTAATTGTAGTGAAATTATATTAATTCCCGTTCCTTTATTTCAACAGACTACTTATACAGATAAAGGGGAGAAGGTAAGGTGCATATCGGTAATATACTATACATTCAACGTTGTTCACTGTATAAGCGTGTGAAATAGAATAGTTAAGCTTATATTTTTATAACTGATGTATAATTTGAACCTACATCAAGGGTAACTGTAAGTTTTTAATGTCGAGAACACATAGTCCTGTGTTAGGTCATAATCACTGAAATCGGTTACAACTCATTTCCACGCTATTTTGAAGTGTGGAAACGTGTCTTGTGAGGTCACCACACCACAGGAACTTGAATTTAGACCACTTGCTGTTTGAAGCAAATTTTGCATGTTTAGAACTAATTGTATGTATGGGTTACTGACCAGGCGTGAGGTCAAGATGGCTGTATATTGGGCAAGAACAAGGCCAATATCTGGCCCTCTTAGTCAATAAAGGATTTATTATATGGCTTTAAGGGAAAATTTTCATGCGGGACACAGCGGATATTCTATGCTATTGATCCAAGGTATCTGTTAAAATGGCTATTTTTTCAGGTCATTGCATGCACCATTGGTTTCATTCATGGATTCAAAAAAAGTGATCACATGATGTGACAAATTTCATGATCGTGTGATGAGTGAATGTCCTGGCGTCAGGCGAGTTGCTTCACAGTTTGTTTGCAAGTTTGTTGAGTTCCACACTCTCTAGCAAGATGCAATTCAAGATCTATTGTAGAGAAGAGTTCGACAGATGCAAAATCCATTGTCAGGGTCCGAAATTGCGCTTTCCTGGTCGCCAATGCGACTAAAAATTTTGCTCTGGTGACCAGAATTTCACAACTGGTCGCCAGCGGG